ATCTCATTAGGATTTTATGTACTATCATAGTTTGTTCACACCACAGAAACTATTCGGTATTTACACACGTGTGACTTTTTTATTTCATTAGGAGTATATCCTCAATATCTATCCATTTTCTTACGAATGAATCTAATTTCTCATTCTTTATGGCTGAGTAGTATTCCATTTTATAGAAAAACCACATCTTCTCTATCAACTTACCAACTAATGGGCAAATGGGCTGTTTCCAAGTTTTAGCTATTACAAACTGTGCTCCTATAAACATAGGTGAGCATATATCTCTGTGATATGATTCTTTTAATTCTTTTGGAAAGGTACCCAGCAGAGGGATGGCTGGGTCAAATGGGACCTCTAGTCCCAGCTCTTTGAGGTATCTCCATATTGATTTCCATAGTGGTTGCACCAATCTGCACTCCCACCAACAACGAAGCAGGGTTCCTTTCTCGCCACAACCCTGCCAACATTTGCTATTGTTTGGTTTCTTGATAGCAGCCATTCTTTGTGGGGTGAGGAGGAATCTCAGTGTTGTTTTCATCTGCGTCTCTCGAATGACCAGTGATGTGGAACATTTTTCATATATTTGCTTGCTGCTTTTACTTGTTTGTCTGAGAAATGTCTGTTCATTTCAGATGCCCATTTTTGAATTGGATCTTTATATTTGGGGGGCTGATGGTTTTGAGTTTTTTATATATTCTAGATAATAGTCCTTTGTCTGAGGAGCAGCTGGTAAAATTTTTTTCCCACATTGTAGGTTGTCTCTTTAAATGGCCCTGACGTGGTCTACTTTTGCCCTCGAAGAGAATGAAGATTGCACAAGTGCTAGCAATAGTGGTCTAGAAACGTTTATTACACCAAGGTGGTTGATGATATTTTCAGATCATCTAAGGCTTTTTATTTTTCCTCACTGTTCAGTAAGGGGTGTTGAAATTTTAATTGTGATCGTAGATATTGCTGAATCTCTCACTAATTCTGTCAGTTTTGCTTCAAGTTTTGAAAGCTCGGCTGTTATTTGTATTGTCATTCTGATTAGTTGATTTTTGTCATTATATTTGGGGTGATCAAACAAGGTGAACATATAAATTTAAAAATTCTATCACAGTAAAAAACACACACACACACATTGCTGTTACTCCATTCCCCTTCACTTCTCTGAAGAATGTCTTTCCTCTGTTTAAAGTTAGTCCATGGTGCTTGCAAAATTATGCCTCAGTTCCTCCAGGCCCACTTATAAATCTTAACTTTCTGGCTTGTAATCCCATAAATTGATTTTAATTTGGCTGAGATGTAGCCGTTTTGGGGTATAAAAACCTCTAAAAAAATAGAGTTCCTTTGACAACCCATTCGGGTTTGTTAAGAGAAGCTTAGATGAAAGGGGCTCAGCCACTCCATGCCCTAAAGGGGGCTCCTGGATATTATAACACTGTTTCTGTTCCTCCCCAGACTTTTCAGCTTCTGGCTGAGCTCCAGACCTTGACTAAATTGTCTTCAGGGTCGAAGCAGACCTCCTGGACCCTTCCTCATCTGACCCTATGGGTGGCCATCATAAGCCAATCTTGTAAATTCATATATATTTATATATCTTGTGTTATATCTGTTTCTCTGGCAAACACTGACTGATACAGGTCCCCTCTCAGTACTGGGAGCTGTTTCCTTTCACTTAACAATAAATGCTGCTTTCTGCTTTCAAACCTCTACAATAAGTACTTTCTCACTCAGTCCTCCTTTAACTTTCTGTTTTGTAATTCTTTCTAGGCTGAGAGAAGAACCCACCAATTGGACAGTAACACCGAGATTCTCCAAGTGGGGGGAAATAAAAGTAAGCCCACCTTATAACCTGTTTAAAACATACATGCTTTGAAGTGCCAGATGGATGAAAAGTAAAAGATGAATGGGTAAATACACCATAAGGCCATTACTAATTTTTTTTAAAAGGTGATTCAGCTTTCTTTCTTTTCTCTCTCTCTCTCTCTCTCTCTCTCTCTCTCTCTCTCTCTCTCTCTCTCTCTCTTTTTGTTTTTTTTTTTAAGCCCACCTTATAACCTGTTTAAAACATACATGCTTTGAAGTGCCAGATGGATGAAAAGTAAAAGATGAATGGGTAAATACACCATAAGGCCATTACTAATTTTTTTTAAAAGGTGATTCAGCTTTCTTTCTTTTCTCTCTCTCTCTCTCTCTCTCTCTCTCTCTCTCTCTCTCTCTCTCTCTTTCTTTCTTTCTTTGGTTTTTTGAGACAGGGTCTCACTGTGTAGTTGAAGACTGACCTGGAACTCACTATGTAGCCCAGGCTGGTCTCACTCACAGCGATCCTCCTGAGTGCTGGGATTACAGGCGTGTGCCACCATGGGGCTTTCTTAATGTGCATTCAAGACAGGACATATTAGCAGGCCAAAGAGGAAAACAAGATCTGATAAAAAATAAATACTGTGTTTAAATTTTAAAACTTGTATTACTTCTCCCCAAGTCTTTTGTTATCTCTCTGTTTCGCCTGGTTTCATAGTGCATTGATTATTCCAGTTGTGGCCAAATCTGGGATATACAATCTGTCACTTTGCTTCTCCTTTGTTTTTAAAGGCGATTTCTACCAGATACAAATAATGGGTCAATAGGTTTCTTTTACCATTTGAAAGATGTTGTTCTCCACTATTTCAGATCAGCCGTTATTCATATCATAGTTCCTACGAAGGCACACAATTTACTTATGCACAGAAGTTTATGATGTACTCTTATGTGCCCAGGTGGTGTTTTCTTGTTATCATTCTTGGGGATTTTCCAAGCTTTTTGAATCTGTAAATTAGCGTTTTTTCACTGTGTTTGAGGAAATTTCAGCTTCTCTTTTCCTTCACTTTTTCAGCCATTCTGCTTTATCTCCAGTTCCATGTCTAGTGCCTATCAGGTCCCACAGGGGATTAAGACTCTTTTCCTTGGTTCCTTTCAATCCTTGTCTCCTTTGGATCTTTAAAATCTCTCTTTAAGTTTACTTAGCCTTTCTTTTGCAACTTTCAGTCTTTTTGAAGAAGATTCAGGTAGGGGTGGGGCCAGTGTGCTGCATGGATGCTTGTTCTGGAGGCCCAGCCTCAGTATCTCCTGCACCAGGGGCAGAGCAGGGGCCCCAGAAGAGGGAGGAAGAGGGGAAAGGGGGGA